AAATGAATCTAAGTAATCTCCTGCAAATTCACAGTGAAACAGTTTTTGAAGACACAAACAGTTAAGTATTTTGGCCAATAGGGCAATATCTGCTCTTGGGACTTTAAAAGCCTAGAATCAGTAGGTTTCAGTTATTTATCTACATCTAGCCTGTGGCTCATCCTCTATAAGCATAACTAATTCTAGAGCTCATACTTTTATCATTAGAATCCAATACAATATGGAAATAATATTGTGGTAGGCAGAACTTTTAAATGGTCTCCTCAAGATCCCTGTACCTGAGTTATTCAAGCAAATATATTTACATATATTCATAAGAATTTTTGGAAGGAGAAAGGAGAAACTTACTAATGTTTATTTTTGGGGAACAGGAAGGTAAGGAAATTAGCATGTAGCGATTTTATAATAAAATATGGCTCTGAAAATAAAACCAATAAAGAAAGCAAAATAATACCTGCATTAGTTTTCTATTGCTATGTAATAAATTACCCAAAATTCAGTGGCTTAAAAATGATAATCTATTTATTAATCTTCTAGTTCTATGGGGCAGAAGTTCAAGTACACTTGACTTGTTTGAGCTCAGCAGGGCTCTTAAGGGATCATAAAGCCAAAATCAAAGAAAGGCAAAAAATCACAAGCTCCTAGTTCCCCAGGAACCCTCACCTAGTTTTTCTTCTCAGGGTATTGTGTGGCCAAAATCAAAGTATCAGCTGGGCTGGGCTGTTATCTGGAAACTGGGAAAGAATCTACTTCCAAGCTCATACAGGTTGTGGACAGATTCAGATCACTGAGGTTATAGAACTGAGGTCTCCATTTCATCCTGGCCGTCAGCCTGAGGCTGCTTTCAGCTTCTCGAAGCTGCCCTCTTCCATTTTCAGGCCCACAATTGCCACACCCAGTCATTCCCATGCTCACATCTCTAACTTCTCCTGTCTGTCATCAACCAGGGAAAACTCTCATTTAAAGGGCTCATATGATTGGGTCAAGCCTGCTTAAATAATCTCTGTATAAAAGGTTAGCTGACTTGAGACTTTAATTGTGTCTGCAGAATCCCTCCATATTAGTACCTGGAGGATGAACACAGGAGTGGGCAAAAGTAGGTTTCCAGTTATGAGTACACAAAACACAGTTTATTCTTGGATTATGATTTGTTAATTATTGTATTAATTATTTGTATTACAACTGTAAATCTATTTTTCCCCACCCCTGTATATTATGTGAGAGGAACTGCTTCACCACAACCTTGCTCTTGTTGGATTCTACCAATTTTTAAAAATTTTTGACACTGTGCTAGATGAACCTACCATCTCACTATCCTGGTTCACATTTCTCTCATGATTGCAATGAATCAACATTTCACACGTATTGTTGATCATTTTAGTTTTTTTCTGTGACATGTCATTTACATCTTTTGCCCATTTTTCTCTTGGTGCATTCATCAATTTTCACATTAATTTACACAAGCTCTTCCTATATTAAGGCAACCCCGATGTTTGTCAATTATAACCATAAAACATTTTCACACTTTTTATTTTGTTTATTATACAGAAATTCTCGTTTTGGGAGAGATACACTAGTCTTTTCCTTTGGGGCTTCTGGATTAAATTTCAGGTTTATAATCTTCCTGGAAATAGGAGCCCAGGATATTCTACTTTCTTTTTTTTTTTTTTAATGGGACTGTCCTGTTCACTATTCTTTGAGGAATCCCTGGCTTTCAACAAGCACTGCTTTGTTTGTGGAGATAAGCTGCAGAACACTGTGCCAGCATTCCCCTTCCTCGGGGCACTACTGATACATCTGCAAAAATAAAGTTCTCATCTCTACTGAGTCACTGGATGGGTATAACGTCATGTGTCAGTGATGAGTGGCCTGACTCGTATCATCCCTACCTAAGAAAAATAGAAAGTATAACTTTATCTTTTTGGGTCAATAATCACTGAGAGAAGGCAGTTTTTCTTCCTCTTGTTTTCATGGAGACATCTAGGAACCCTCGCCTGGCATATCAAACACATGACTGACCCCGAAGCTAGCAGCAGGAAGACAGAAAAGGCTTGAGGAGGGAGGAGGCATTCACATCATCAAGACATGAGGACTGGTCCTTTCCTTCATTTACATCTTCTCCTTTTTATACAGAAATAGGGATCTACCAGACTGTGATAAATGCCATTTCTCACAAAAAGTCTGACAGACGTCTGCAGCTTCTGAGTGAATAACAACCTGTTGGCTCCATAACATAAGGAAAAATACTCTCAGAACCCAAAAGAAAGGCTCCTCTAGGCCCACTCCTCTGATTAAATGCTAAAATGATGTTTGAAGGGAAAAGAATTCAAGCTAAGTCTACGTAGAGAAAAGAAAATAATTAAAAGGATCATTAAAGTCTTAGCCACATTTTCTCTAATCTCAAAATGAGACCTGAAGAAAATCGCAGTAATAAGAGACTAATCAAAAGGCACATAAAGTATGGTGCAATTACTACGGAACACTATAGAGAGGAGTAGGATTAAGTTTTTTAATCACTATCAAATTATATGTAACAAATAGAATTCATCATTCACTTAGTACCTAGTATACACCGTTGGGCACTGTGCTGCAGGAAAGTAAAGAGGGAAAAAAGAGAATTCCAGCCCCCAGTAAGGTATGTGGCCTTGCTTGACCCTCTGTCAGCACTCATCATATGACAATGATGTAATACATATCTCCAGAGTATAAATGGTAACAACATAAATAGTTGTGCATGCATCATAAGTACAATATTACCAACTGCTTATCCCTCTCCCAGATTAAATCCCCCTCACACCTCTCAGGTAACTACTATCATGAACCTGGTCTTCAAAATTACCATGTTTTACTTTATACTCTTACTACAAACATCCACACACATACACATACATATTCATGTGCATATGTATGTGTGTATCCCTAAACAAAATATTCTGTGTAGCATCACGTTAGCCTTATATGAATGGTTTAAATAATATTCTTCTGTAACTGCTTTCGTTGCCCAATACTATTATTGAGCTTCACCCACGAAGATATGTGCTGGGCTAGTTCATTTTCTTCTATGTGCACAGTGCTCTGTGGATGACTATGCCCCAATTCATTTATCCATTTTCCAACTGATAAATATTTAGGTTGCTTCAAATGTTGAGCTATTACATAGAAGGCTGCTATAAGCAGTCTAGAACATGTCTTCTCATGCATCCATGTGCAAGTTTTACCCAGGAGTGGCATTTCTGAATTTAGTGGTCTTGCTACAGTGTCAGATTTTTATCAATTTATCTTTTACCTTTTTTACTTTACCATCTTTTATTTATTACTATGAATAAAAACAAAATTTTATTTCAAGGGGGCAACTACCTCTGTCTCTCTCTTCTCCCCAAAAATGTGACGGATAATGCTCACTCTCAAGTTGAGAGCCACGCCCTCAAGCAAAGGGACTTCCGAGGAAGAGTCACAGCCCTCCCTTCAAATATGAAATCAACAACATCTGAAAGTCCATCAGGGTTACGTTAGAGTTTTCACAATAGTATATGATGAAGGAAGAGCTCATCCTGTCAACCCATCGCTCTTCACATCCTGAAAACATCTTCCTAAAACACAGATCTCCCTCAAAATCCTTGAAAGGCACTCGGCGTCAACATTCCTTCTGCTCTCTGCCTTTCATTTCTCTGTCCACCTTCATGTTCTCTTACAACCAAGCACACAACTCCCACGCTCTAGCCGTGCACTGGGAATTCCCTTCTCTCACCCCATTTCTACCCGTCAGCGACTTGCATCTTTCAACATCTTGAGCAAGTAGTTCCTTCAAACTCTCCCAGATGTTCCTGGTTGGAATTAACCCTGTTCTTCTTTGCACCACCTTGGATAGAACTTTAAAACATACACACACACACACACATCATACAAAGCAGTATTCATTGCACAGTTTTTATAATATGGCTCTACCTTCCTTATAATTAGTACTTGAGCCCCAGGGCCACATCTCTCTTGAATCTTTGCTGTCCTTACAATGGTTCTGGATGAAACAGATAATTATATATATCACCGACAGGTAAAACTTTAGAGAAACTAATGCACACATACACAAGGACACATTCTAGACTGCTTGTAGCAGCATTGTTTGCAATGGCATACACACACACACACACACACACACACATATGTTCAACATTAGGGAGAAAAAAATGCTGGCTAGTTCTGATGGAGTATAGGACATGCAACCCCAAAATCCGTCGTCTAGGCATACTGAATGTTTTAAGCTGAAGGAATGTGAGGAAGGGTGTGTGCAGGAAGACCTGCCCTAGAGCAGGTCATAAAACCCTCCTGTGGAAGGTACTGTCTCTGGGCCTGGAGGAAAGAAACCTCCTTATCTGTAAAGATAAGGGGCCGAGAGGAATGTAAAGAATAGGCCTTGCTAAATTTCAGTTTGTCACAATTAGCTCATCGCCTTTGCCCTACCCCATTTTGGCACAACTTTCCACTCTTCGTCAAGCCTGGTATAAAAACACTCAGGTTTAAACATTTCTTTGGGTCTTCACTTCCTTATGAAGGCTCCCATGTCACATAAGTTGGGGTGCTTTCCTCTTGTCAATCTGTGTCTGGATTCCCAGGGGAGAACTTAAAAGGGTAGCGGGGGAAAAAATTTTTCTTCCCCGACAGTTCTTAACATGCATCCTCTCCATGCGACCCAACACGTCCGCGTTTCCCAAAGACAATCCTAACATGCAAGCATGTCTTGCCTCATGCACAAATATAGAAACTGAGGAAGAAACAATTGAAAAAGGGCCCCACATAAAAAGAAATTCTCGATTTTGGAGTCCAAGTGCCGCAAGAGAGGATGGGGTTTGGGCTAACACCAGAAGGAACAGCTCAGTGATCGGCCAGCAGGAAAACCAAGCTAACAAGACCTGAAGACACACCTGAATTTCAAAACGCCTGCATTATTTTAAACAACCAGCAAACAGAAGTAAAACAAAACTCCAGGAAAGAGAGCTAATTACCCGTGTGAGCCGAGAGAGGCGAGTGTGGTCGAGGCAACGCTGGTGACTGTCCATTGCCTATCAAGCTCTTCCGGTTGCTTGTTCGGCAACTGTCAAAAGGAAAGGAAAAACAAAATTTTAAAAAAAGAATATAGCATTAAGTTGATAATGATAATAATAATAATAATAGTAATTCGGGCATATACAACACAGGCATAGACTAGAGGTTAAACAACCTGTCAGCTCTTACTAGTACCAACATTTCTGCAAGTAGATACGCACTCACTAATATTTGAGGGGTGGCTGCCTCTTGAATATTAGACAATATGAAGTATTCATGCAGTATAACAGCATCAATATTCCTCACCACCAGTGAAGTCATAATCAAATGACTTCTTTCAGGTCCTGACTGCAAATGTGTGACATGCCACACATACAAGTGATAAATTAGGGATTCAAATCAGCAAACCACAGGTAGCATCTTTGTTGACATGAAATTTCTAATACAAAATTACATGCAATGAAGCGCAATGACATTAATCTTACAATGATGCACTAATTAAAAATCTAATTATTTAGACAAATTTCATATTTGTGCCTTTTGTCAATAGAACAGCCGATACCTAAGATAAATGTATTTCACTACTCAATTCATTTTTCATCATGTACACTGCATTCAGATTCCTAATTAGGGTAAATACTTTGGAATCATAGAAACAGATTCCAGTGTGTATGAAAATAACACTGCAGGCCTTTTTTTTCACAGGCACACCACCTACTGTTTTTATCCTGATAACTCCATGAGTAGAAGTAAGTTGCTACCTATGGGCACAGGGCAACTATTTTTCCCTGTGTCTGCTATAGAAAGTTATAAATGGCTAATCTTCTTCCAAGTAACTTTCACAGGCCTCAAAGAATGAGACAAATGCAAAGCTGGTTGATGGCGAAGGGCATATTATTTTCACTTCATCCTCAGTTATCAGCACCGACGCCAGAAACGGCTAAAAAGTGCATTCGCCTGTAGTAAGGCCCAGGGCGCTCCGACTCCACTCTCCTACACGGGGGCTGCCTCCGACCACCATTCAAGGTTTCCTGTGATGCTTTCTTAATTCAGAATATACCTCTGTTAGAGCAGGTTCTCGAAATAGGAATTTCCCCTGACTTCCATAGTGGATATATTGGACAGTTTGTATAAAATATGTGAAAGGAGCATTTCTAAATATGCAAATAATACATTTCAAAACCAAACACAATTTCTTTTGGCAATATTGACTTGCAGACCAATCCTCTTGCTTAGATGTTTGCTGCTTATCATCATTTGTCAACATTCCCATATTTATAATTTCTTAAGGTCAGGCCGCAGCATTTTATTTTCCTTACTGGAGCAATCCACAGCCCCTAGCATTATCTGTGAGTATAATTAAGATTGTGTTTACTCAGCCTTAAAGAAGCTGTTGAATAAGAATAGGCCCTTGATGCTTAATTATGAAGGTGGATTGTTGTATTATCAACTCATCTATCAAGAACTGTATTCAACCTATTACATTCATAATTATTAAATCAGATAGTGTGATTGTTTTAAAAAGAAACTGTATAATACATTTAGTGTTAATTCAAATTAATGTCTCGTTTCATTTCAATACAGGTATTTTGAGTATACCAACTTGCTGATGTAAATAAAAGAAATAAAAAATGATAGATTTATACCCTGGTAAGCTCAGCAAAGTTATTTGTTAATCTGAGCAAATTAATTGAAACAACAGTTAACTATCAAAAAATGGCCATTTGTATTATTTTTTATATTTAGTATTTGTTCTACATCATTTATGAAGATTTTCTCTTGACATTCAACTATTGTTTATATATGTAAATAAAATTAAAATGTAAATAAACAGAAATAGTAACCTGATGAATATCTTAAATAGGAATATCAGTGAAATATGCTGACTTAAACCTAAAATTTAGAGACTATTTAACAAAAACTTTAAAAATTTGAATTTTCATTAAGAGATACAGAATGACTAGTACACTACCACAACAAGCAAAATAAATAGCCAACAACTTAAATTTATAACAGAGAAAACACAAACAAAAAAATTTAACATTTTTATCACTCATTTAAAAGTCTATCATAAAAGGGTAGAAAAATATTGCTTTCTAAAATGTCACTCAGGAAAATCTCAAAAAGAAATGTCTAAACAAACCCTGCAAATGGAATATACTTGCTTGGTCAACACAAAAATATGAAAATATGAAAAAGCTTATATTACATTCATCCTATGTTTGCCTTCTCTCTATAAAGGTTGGTAATCTTTACAAATAAATGACTATAAATGCAACTTGGTGGAAAAAAAATAGGCTCCTTCACCTATGAACACATGAGCAAGTTAAAGGAAATTAGAAACAAACTGCTTCAGAATTTGAACAGTTTACACATTTAACGTACTGATAGTATGTTACACTGAACCTTAAATAACTGGCGTATCTTACTGACAAATGCTATATCAATCAGAGCTGGAAGTGTCTTCTCCAATCTCTACCTGGATCTTCAGCATGAAGCTAGAGCCAGTATTAAAAAGATAACAGACTTGGAACTTTCTTGAATCTCTCAACAATCAAACAGGAAGATGTTAAACATGAAATGCTCCTCGGTGTGGCCAAACAAGACTATAAAATACAGGTCAAGACACCTTTCCATGTGTACACAAAATCTCTACCCTCAGAGAGTAGGGTCTTGACCTCACAAATGAATTTATTTGTTGCTAGCATTCTTAAGAGTAAAGGCGCATTTTATACTGTATTTAACCTCAAAATACCTAGATCTTGATATATAAATACCTTTAGAATCCTGGGACCCTACTAAGGTATTCTGTAGATCACTTTCCAAGTTGGGGGGAAGGGGCAGTCATTAAATCTCAATACTACCTATGTCTGATCTCTCTGAGACTCACCTAATCTTATTGTTCTAGATGCCCAATTTCCAATAAATGAACTGAAATCTGCATTTAATCTCACAGTAAGAAAACTCCGGGTAGACAGGACCTATGAGTATTTACTACCTAGACTGCCTCAGCACCTGGCACTGCCCACATTAACGACGACACAGGTGCAAGATGCTGAGCTGACCTCTGCTGTCATCATTTATTCGTCCAGGTATCACACTCTTTCCTGCTCATGAAAGGACAAGCTTATGGCATCTAGCTCCTCAGGTGCTGGTGACTACACCATATGCATTTGATCCATGAAATGACAGAAGAGCAGGAACATCACCACTTGGACAAAGTCAAGGTCCCCTCCCTTTCACCAGCATGACTAAGTTGATTCAGCCTTGTTTTTTCTCTGGCAGTGTCACCTCCCTACCCCCCCCCCAAAAAATGATGCCCTACCAGGAACATTACATCTACTGTAGCAAAAAGCTCTTAACTTTTAAAAAATGTATCCTCACCTAAGCATTTGAGCTTATACAGATTTATGTCCAGTTTTCAGTCTTAGGAACAAAGGCATATAATTCCCGAGTGAAACGGAAAGACAGTTATGAACTCACGTTTCAGCTCAAGTTCATCCCCCAAAGCATTCTTTCTGCTTCACCCTTTAAGGAGAGATGGAAGCCCCTCCCCAGCCCACGGTCCCATCTGAAAGCCAAACGCAGGCGGATCCGCTTCCCACAAAGCACCTCCTCCTCCTCGGCTCTCCAGTTGAAGCAACACACGGTGACACCTACTCTGCCTGCGGATCACAGGCCCTATTTGTTCTCTCAGTTTGGGAGGTGGCACAATGGTGGCACCCTTAGATTCTTTACTTGCAAAATCCTTTCTCTTAGAGAGGCAGGGAGAGAGTGAGAGAGAAACACTGATGTGAGACGGAAAGAAACATGGATCAGTTGCCTTCTGCACGCCCCCCACTGGGGATGGAGCTCCCAATCTGGCCATGTGCCCTAACCGGGAATCACACTGACAACCTTCAGTGCACAGGACAACACCCAACCGACTGAGCCACACCAGCCAGCACAATGACAGTGCTTTTTAGTAAGCAGGGCTGGCCAGCCCCTGAAGGCTGAGAGGCAAGGCAGGCAGAGACAGGACACCTGGTTAAGAACATCACAGCAGGACGGGCACTCGGGTGGAAATGCTGAGAGTGATCTGAGGCCACCAGAAGGAAGTGCTTTATTTGTCTGCACGGTTTCTTGGCTCAGGCAGGTGGAGTGAGGGCTGAAGGGCACCACTCCTGCCCCTCGAGTTCACTGTCCCATCCACCAAAGCAGTTTCACCATCCCCTAGCTACTGCCAGCAGTGCCTTCCTTCCGTTTGCCAGGAAGATGAAGAGCCGGACCGTGCATTTCACCACCTGAGTCAGGCCTGACTCCGCATGAAGGACGAGGAGGAGTCCACGCTGCTTGGCTGGGGACTGGGGACGGGCGGGGACGGGAATGCGGGGAATGCGCTTGGGTCCAAAGCACCCCGTTCTGTTTCCGCTCGGCCGTCTTTACCCTCAGGGCTCCACAGCAAGGGCGAGCCGGGCCCGTAAGCGGTTCACATCTGGCTCTGTCGCAACTCTCCTGGCGCGAAAGCCTGCTAATTACCACAGCCAGGCCTGCAAGAGCCAGGAGGCCCACCGGGCAGTGGCCTGCAGCAACTGCTCCGAGTAGCTGAAATCCAGCTTAATTTTAAATTACATTCATTTGGAGACACGAATACCGATCATGTCTGATCATGGCAAGACAAGCCGAGGGGAGGGAACCCCAACAGGCAGTAATTTCTAACATTCATGGCTGACTTGAAAGGTCAACACTCATTATGGAATTTGCCTGACCGCGATGGAGGGGCAGCGATCACGCCGTGAGCTGCATAAGAACAGCCCCAGTAATTCTCAGAAGCTAGGCTATAATTTATTAATTCATCTTGATGAAAAATTTGATAAATTTGCACAGGAGACCAATTACAGACCAAAGCTTTACTGCACAGGAACATCTGCTAACTATTTCCGAATACCTTAATAGAATCTGAACATTTGAATATCCCTCGAACAGCGAGGAAGGCTGAAGCGGAGAGCTGGGCAAGCCCAGGAGCCAGAAGCTCTCCAGCCAATGTGGGGCCAGAGTGCATGCTATAAG